TTATCCGCATTTATTTTTTGTGTGGAACACAAAAAATCAAATTTCAGTCTTATTTTACATTTTTTTCATTCTTAGGAATGTCTAAATTCAGTTAAACTAGCAATTCCGTATTATATTTATAAATCTTTATAACATTATACAAAAATTAGATTTTTCTTAAAAACTGAAATTTTGCCGGGAATGGGGCTTTAAGTTAAGAATCATTCAATATATAGCCATAAGTTAAATACGGTAGCTCATACTTCTTTTGAAGATTTAGTAAGGCCTAAATTCAATATGTATATTGAAGTATAGCTAATTGATAATCAATAATTATGAGATGGCAATATTGAATGATAATGAATGATAATATATGATGATAATCATTATCAAAAATTACAGTTAGAAGATGGTGATTGATGATAAATGTGGATAATGATTTATGGAAGAAGAAGTAGATAATGATGATGATGACGTCACGTCCTTGTTTGATGCTTTTGTTTGGTCTACTAGCTTAGTTTTTCCCTATTAAATATTAATGTAAAAGTATTGTTACGGTAAATTGATCCCGTAAATCAATTATTTCAAGCTATTCATTGATATAACTAAATTAGATCTTATTATTACCATCGCATTCAGGGCCAGAACAATGGAAGCGTCCCATTTGTTCCCTTGTTGGACGCTTCCATTATCCAGCAGTGAGCAGTCATAAAACCTTCTGTTTTATTTAGTGCAGTGCTATTGTGTACACAACAATGTCATCGAAGTTGTCGATAATATTACTTGAATTGTTTTTACTTTGCTACACAGCAGGTATGTTATTTTTTAAGTGTGTCAGTTATAAGAAATATATAGACCTATAAAAATGTAGGTACCAGTAACTAATTTCACGAAGATTTTTTTCGACTAATGCATTAGAGACGGAAACAAACCCCACAACAAATGCACGCGTGTCGTCTATGGCTATGCATTTCCTATAATACACAGGCCTATGTATATAGACCTAGATGTAGATACAGTATATAGTATTTAGATAAAAGTAGAGACGATGGCGAATGAAAATACAAACATTGAGAGTCGACTTTAAGAACATTATTTTATTTCTGAATTCAGCCATCGATGCCCGTATTGTTTTATTAACCGTCTGTGTACATCCAGCTTACGTGCCAACCAATCCTTTAATAATAGTTACATACATACACACAAACACATACATACACATACGCACATACATACATGCATACATTGTATATAAGGCCTATAGACTTCAAGCGCGTTTTATTATGATCAGGGCTTCTCCCTCCAGGGAAAAAATACCAGTACCGTACTTTATTAATACAATAAATATTTCGTCCTATCCCAAGGTTTTTCTTAATTACTAAAGAAGGCTTGAATAGTGGTTAGGCGGATAATCGTCCAGAGAACATGGCTCATGACAAGAATGCTGTGAATATGTAGGCCTACACAACAGCAAATTAGCAGATGCAATTAGTGGTGGTGGGTAGTGGTTAGCTTGTTGTTGGCCATCGGCCGATTGAGATTAGCAGGATGGCAGGATCATTGTATTTTTTCTTGAAAACTCAGTTGAGAATGTGCTAAAGGTCGGTAAAAGAAAAAGAGGAGTAAGACTAGGCATAGACAAATAGGGCCTATGTAAAAAGAGTAAAGTTGGAAATATACTCTCTGTCCAGGGATGGGAGCTCTCATCTGTCCAAGAGAAATATCCTCATTTTGATATTGACCTATAAGAAGAATGTGATTCAACTCTTCAGATCAAATCATGCCAACAACCACAGTTCCAGGATTGATTGGATTATTGACTTGCTAAAAAGAAAATCTTATATTATGCGCTTATTCAAATTAGAAGGGGGCGCTTATTCAAACGGGGCGCTTGACGAAATGTTCACGTTAGGAGGGGCGATTATTCGAGAGAGGCGCTTATTCAAACGGGGCGCTTATTCGCGCGAGTACTGGTTCTGTTTTATTTATGTCCTTTGATTATTTTATGTCTAACTTTTATACTATTTTTTGTATCAGGAAGACGAATTTTACTTGAATTTTTTGTATTATTGACAATACAATAATCTTGTATCTTGTATATTTGGTAAGAAATTCTTCATTGGGTTGTACCTAACACTAACTGTAAATGTCTGTGCTGCCGTTTTTGAGACATGGTGTGGTACACAAAAAAAAAAACAAAAAAAAAACCACGAAAACACCAAAATGTGACACACACACACCCACTCACTGACACCCAAGACCACAAAAGGGCTGTAAACTCGCATTCACCAGGTTTCGAGAAAAACAGCCAAATAGACAGTATAACATGTACTTTGAGCAAAATGTGATTATATCATAAATATAAAGTATTACTTTTAATCTTACTATTTTTGAAGTTTGGGTTCAATATTTCAACGCTAAACCCTAAAATTTAGTAATTTTATGAAGGCCATTCTACGAGAAACGTATATAAATTCACCAACATTCAAACCGCCATAGTTCGCTTCCAAACAACTTATTCATCTACATAAAATTCAGGCCCCAACTAGATAAATGAAAACTATCGGATAATAATACGTTTATTAGTACTCGTATGCTATGTATGTGATTTCAGAATTAAAAAAAAAACAGTATAGTTATAAAATAGTACAATGGTCACAGAGCTAGCATACGTAAATGTATACCTCGAAATGAAGGAAATAGCCTTGAATTAATTCAGAATACTGTTTCATGACCTGTTGGAAGATTTGGAAAGCCGTGAAGCGGATCAAAAAATGATGTAGATTACAGTTGAGTACATGTTAAGAAACTAGTTGTGGTTATTAAAAACTTTAAACAAATATTGACGCCAACAGAACAATCATTTGCACTATTTTTAGCGATGTGAAAATGAAGTATATTCAACGTTATTCAAATCATGTAGAAAACCAAACAATAACGTGCGTGTCGACATTACAGTTGCTTTAGAAATATCTTCAAAAGTAATTTTCTAGATCATAGCACCATAGTGCGGACTATTTTTGTACTAAATGAAGAAAATAATCTTATCTTATATAAAATCACACCTGAACTGAATTTCCTTGTCCTTAGTTTCCCACCATACACCTATGCCTATGTTGTTTTAATTTGACTATAAGTGTTGTTTTTTAGTTTCTTCATTTTAAAAAATAAATTCACCTCCCGATGAATGTTATTTCTCTTTTCTGTATTTATTTTCCAAAGCTTCAAGTTTTATACTGTACAATATAAACAATACTATTGTGAGGTAGACGGATTAGACCAAATAATGTAAATATTATAGGTTAGTTGTTGGTGCCTTTTAATGAGTAGTATAACACAGTTCCTTTTAGTACACTGCAAACTTTTATTCACACAAACTGTACGTGGTTACAATCAGCTAAACTCCGGGTTTCAGATGTTAGAGAACCCTTTTTGAGTGGAGTCAGCTCAGCTCTGTACTTTTCTTTTAAATTTAATCTAACTACTACCCAGTGATATGGGGGTGTTTGCCTATTATACTTTAGGTAATGGGGGTGTGTCTCAAGTAAGTTACCCCATACTTTTAGAGTGTCTGATTGGATCATATAGAAATTCTTTCTTTATGATTTAATAACTTGTTTACCAAAAAACTGCTAATTAAGATGTATCACAAACTTCAGAGCTTATAGGCTCAAAACTGACAATCATAGATTCATAGTGTGAGAAAGTCCAACTGACTAGGGTAAAGTATGTCCAGTTATATTATTAGATTATCTGTATACTCAAGTTGACCATTAAAACTGTCAAACCAATTTAAGGCGTTTATCAGGTGAAGGGTATCGATTCCAATGGTTATGCAAGTTAATACCATTGAACCTTAATACTACACTACAATAAAAACAAATTAGGCCTATTATGTTGGCCACGCCCGACCGACCCAAAATGTACGAAATTGAGATTAAACAATTTTTAATTAAGCATGTATGAACTTAATTATGTAATTGAATATATATATATA